CCCTCCTCCTCCTCCTCCTCCGTCCTCCTCCTCCTCCTCCCCCCCCCCCAGCTCGACAGTACTCTGGGCTCGATTCGCCACGGACCGCGCCGAGCGGCCGCGGGAGGCCCGAGGCACGACCCGAACGTCGCCGGGGCAACGCGTCGACCCCCGATCGCCGTAGTGATGCTGGCGGCACGCCGGGCAGCACCCGGGAATGCTGAGGCTGATGGGCCTGGTTTCCACCACCACCACCACCACCATACATATGTTGGAGGGGGAGGGGGTCCTCCTCCTCCTCCTCCTCCTCCTCCTCCTCCTCATCCTCCTCCTCCTCCTCCTCCTCCTCCTCCACTCCTTCGTCTCCTCCTCCTCCTCCTCCTTCTCCTCCTCCTCCTCCTCCTCTTCGTCCTCCTCCTTCCCCCGCCGTCCAACTTGTGGTGGAGCCCCCTCAGAGGCGCCGGGCCTCTCCGGGGCGCAGGGAGGCGAGGAGGCCTCGAGCGCCCGGGCCCGCCGCAGAGAGGGGGCGCAGGACGGCGGGGGCGGCCGCGAGGTGAGAAGCCGTGCGCCCGGCAGTTCTTCCTCCTCCTCCTCCTCCTCCTCCTCCTCCTCTTCGTCCTCCCTCTTGAGGCCATTTCTTTACTGCTTGGGGCATGACGGCCGTCATGGCCCCCGCTCCCCCCCCCTCCCCCCCCCTTTGACGTAACGCTCCCCCCCCGAGTGCGCTCCGGGCACTGCCGCCGTGCACATTGGGATCCGCGTAGGAATCCGCATAGGTGTCGGGTCCGCAGGCGTCGTTGTCGTCGTCGTCGTCGTCTTCGTCGTCGTCGTCGTCGTCGTCATCGTCGTCGTCGTCGTCGTCGTCGTTAGTCGTCGTCGCTCGTGGTTCGTCGCCTGGGCCGATGACGGCAATCATCTGGGGGGGGAGGGGGTCGATGACGTCACGTTTCGCGCCGGCGGCGTCTGGGAATGGTTAGGAATGACGGAGAACGGATAGCACGAACATGTAGGTGGCGATATGCACCACAACGCCTGTGTACATCAACGGGGGGGGGGCGTCACGTCATACCCCCCCCCCCCTCCCCCCCCCCATGACGCCCGTCATCGCCGAACATACAGAAACGCCTTCCTTCTTCCTCCTCCTCCTCCTCCTCCTCCCTCTTCTTCCTCCTCCTCCTCCTCCCTCCTCCTCCTCCTCTTCCTCCTCCTCCTCCTCCTCCTCGAGGCGCGAGGCTGCGGTGCGGCCCGCGCGGCGGGGGGGAGGGCGGCGGCCCGGCGTCGCGCCCGGCGGCACCCCAGGAAGAGGCTTGCGCGTCAAGTCGGGTGCCTCTACAGGAGGAGTGTCCAAAAATAGTCAAGCAATAGTCTGGAGACGAAGTTCTCGGCTATTTTTCATTATGTTGGGAGCATTTCTGGACCATTTTTCATTGTTTCTCCAAAATCCGTCAGTAGGAGGACATGCCGGACCTAAGGCTTACGTTGCTCCCATCGTACTGGAGGATCGCATCCCAGAGATATGTTCGAGCACCCAGGAACGTATCGAAACGGTGTCGAGCGAGTCTCGCCTCCCAGGGCCCGACACGTGAAGACACTCAGCCTTGACCACCCGAAATTCTTTCTGGTGGTCAAGGCTGAGGTAGATAGCAACATCACAAGGAGAGGCAAGGCCTTTGATCTGAGGCGATGTCTTTGATCCGCGTGGCCCACTACCTCGCTGGGCTCGTCTGGGGCGCAAGAAGGCGAAAGGCAGCTGCGCGGCAGCGATAGTCAGGGCAGGGGGAGCGAGCGGAGAGAGGAGACGACGAGGGAATCGGGTGACGCGGAGAGTCAGGAGAGGAGAAAAATGGGATGAGGTGGGGGATGGAGGAAGACGTGAGCAGTAAGTGCTCTACTCGAAGCAAGACCCAACCACAGGGAGTGCCACGAATAGATCAGAAGTCGGTGGTTGGTCAAAGAGGCGTGGTGTCAAAAGGAAGGAGTGACAGACTGTGTGGACATGTACCACTATACCGCTTGCCTTTGTCAAGGACTCCTGGGTTTCTTGGGGACAGAGGCCCACGATGAGATTCCAGATAATCCCCACACCCTAAGCCAAATCGAGCTCCGTGGGTGTCAGTGTTTGGGTCTCTTGTGGGGGCATCGTTTGACCAGAGACATCGTTGTGATGGGTCAGAGAGGAGACGGACAGCTCTGCCATTCTTTTGGCATCGCCAGGACCTGTGCATTTTCTCTCGGCGAGGATCATCGAGGAGCCTTTCGGGTCGTCTTGCGAAAAAATGCGCGCGCGAAGCCAGAAACATACACGGGGTATGAGCGTCCGAGCGACGGCGAGTTCTTCGAACAACGGGAAAACTGCATACGTACACGTAACCTTTCGGAGCTCCGCGTGGATTTCTTGGATCGGCTCCGTACCCCCCCCTGCCTGACGCGCGGAGCGCGCCAGGGGCGGCGCCGGAGGCCCCGTCAGGGGGGCCCAGCGCCGATCCGAGAAATCCCAGCGGACCTCCAAACGTTCTGTTTACGGCAGGTTTGCGCCGCGTTGACGCGGCGGCGACCCAGGCGCTGACGTTCGAGGCGGAATGCCGCCAGGGGCCTAGAAGCGGCCGACGTCCTTCGATCTGCGCCGTCGGAGAAAGCCGCGATCGTTCAGGGTGGAACGACCCACGCGGCGTCAGAAACTACGCCCGCGACATCGCGGCTCGAGTCGACCGTGTTTACCAGCCTGGAACATATCCCTATCCCTGATTATGCTGGGCACCTCCTCATCACGATGCCAATCATAGGGATTCCCTTATGTTTTGAGGGCGAATCCCTAAGATTGTCATCGCCTTTTGGCGTGTCAATCTTAGGGATAGGGATACGTTCGAGGCTGGTTAAGTCAATCGTGTGTCGTTGTCTGCTCCCCGACGTCCAGCGCCGCCGAGGATGGGCAAGCTGCTCGCGTCGGGAGGCCCCCGCCGCCGGCGGGGCCGCGCGCGAGCCTCCGATCTCCCGGAGAGGACGCGAAGAGGAGCCAAAGGAGGAGGAGGAGGAGGAGGAGGAGGAGGAGGAGGAGGAGGAGTTGGAGGAGGAGGAGGAGAAGGAGAAGGCGGAGGAGGAGGCGGAGGAGGAGGAGGAGGAGGAGG